CACTCATTTGTTTTAAACCTCCAGAGCATGATGACTAGCTGCAGGCATCTAGCTTTTCTTTCCCTTCCATGAACTGCTGATCTACCACTCTTAATTAATGCAAACAATCCCTCCCGATAAGCCCTATCGTGTATCTGCCTACACTGAGTCTCCCTACCCAAAAAGCTGCACCACATCACTTTGGCTCCAGCAGCAGTAGGCCTCTCTCTTCCTCAGGAGGACTGAATGTCAACTCTACCTTAGTAAGAACGTATAACTTCTGCAGTTTTTAGCAACGCTGGCGAGGTTAGGGCCAACCTCATGACTTTCATCATGGAGTGCCCGCTCCCAGTGGCAGATGCCAGAAGCACGTGTATCCCAACATCACTTATGAAAACGGTACCATCTGGTTTTGCTGCCAGGCCACAGCTGCAAGGATCAAACCTCCCAAACCTCCCAGCACCTGAAAGCGCAAAATCTTCGTTACAGCCAAGAGTCAGCACAACACTGGGAAAGCTGTTGCATGGTGGTACTCAGTGGGGAAGGCAAGTCATGCGGTGTTGTATCAGGGGCTGATTACGCTGATACTTTTGGTCTGTGTTTGGCCCAGCCACCTGTAAAAGTTTTGTTCTTTCTCTGCCAAGTTATGAGAAAACAAGCACCAATAAAACGGGAACTTCGTCCTTGGAGAGAGTTCTTGTATAAACTATATTTAATTGCTGTTTTATGATTGGCTGATCGTCCTCCAAGGTCACTTGAAGGAGGGACTGAAGACTATGGGTATGAAGTAAACCCCTAGACTCATTTGGAAAAGACCCCCCCGGGTGCAGTACGCAGGCACAGGGAAGGCCACGCGTGTGCAGAAGAGATATTACTTGCATAACGGAGGGTGGGACTGAGGACCTCTGGCTGGGCAGTGCTGGCCACACCTGCCTAGGTTGAGGTCACTCAGTTAATTGTATAAAAGCAGATAGCTTTTATTCTTGGAAGGCAGGAAGCTTCACATCAAGGACAATGTTGCCTTTTGGCAGGGACGCTTGCCAATTTGTGAACTTGCTGACTCTCCAGGGATGCAGCTTCTGCTCTGGGTGATTGTGGGCACTCTAGCTCGGTAAGATAACTTTATGGGCAACAGCTAGGTGACTGGGGAAGTAGTACTGAGGGCTTGTTTCTCTCCCCCTTCCTCTCTTTTGGGTTTGTTCGTTTTGTTGGCCACCTCTTGGTAAAAATATCAGTTTTGTTGAGCTTTCAATGGTGTCATGGTTTCGGATTTTAGTATGCTACGAACCCTCCCTAATATAGATGTCTGCTAAAGGCCTTTTCTCCCAGTTCTGCCCACTGAACTGGCAGTTCAATAAGCTAGATTAATTGACTTGGACCCTTGGGAAGTCTGGCAGAACACAAATCCGCTCAGGTGGCAATTTTTTTTGATGTGTGGCCCTTTGACTACTTGGGCTGGAAACACCAGCACTTTTCTAAACAGTCCTTGCATTGATCTTGACATTTCTGTATGCATTAAGAATTGGATCCATCAGGAAGGCTGTCCTGTGCCAGGCACAACAAAAATAACAGCAAGAAACAATTTTCAAATGGTCCTCAACATTACGTACCAAGGTAGTCTGCAGGAAAGGCCAGTTTGGTTGTTCTACTCCACATAGGAAAAGGGTGAGTCAAAACGGGAGAGACCTGTCCAAGCTCACCCTGTCGGCCAGTATCAAACCTGAGATTAAAACCCAGGATGTTAAGTAACAGTAGAGCCACTGCTCTCTGCAGAGACATGATGCTGCCCAGGGAAGAGGGGCTGGGAAGCAGGACAACAATTTCTACATCATCTTTCTACTCTCTATGCCTGAAAACTGCTGGCCACTCCAAGGGTCTGTGGGCTTTCAGGTATGGAAAGCTCTACCCATGGTGGTGTCTCCCTGTCTTGTGCTCTCCTCTGAAAGCCTGGAGCAGGGTATGCAGGAGCTGTGAGCTGGGCTTGTTCTCTGTGGGTGGAGGGTACGATCTGACAAAGCTGAGACTGCCTTGTGCTGGCCTCTAGGCACAGAGTAGTCAGGACAGTATCAAACCCTAGTCTGCAGCAATGACATGTCTGCCCCCTCCTCTGGTCTGCACCAGCCTCTTCCACCTATATGTGAGCTAAAGCAGGAAAATGGAGAACTGAGGAGAATCCCTTCCCGAAGAAAAAAGACAAAGTGCTTTGTCACTATCAGAGGAACTGAAAGAAGCTCTCTGTGCACACCAACAAGGAAACTCCTGGAAGGGGAAGCAACAGGACACAATATATCATAAGGCTCTATATAGCAGCTAAGTGAGAGCGTATAGTTAAAAACTACACAGAGGCCCTTTGTTTTTAATATATAATGCTAATGGCTGACATCTACAGCAGCCTCCTCTGCAAATAAATGTAAAACCCAGAGAGTCATTCCAGCTGGGTAAACCCTAATCTCCGTGACAGCAGAGACAGTACGGGTTTGGATACTTTCCAGACTTTCCAGCTTTCCAGCCTGCAAACTCAGGAGAAGACTTCGCTTAGAAGGAAGCAACCAAATTATTCCAATGCCATCATCCCAGCATTGCCAGAGGTTTCCAGGTTTCATTCCTTCACACTTGTGGGTCCACCGTCAATGCAGTAACAATAAGCAACAGTGACTATATACTGTAGCACCTGCTGCTAAGTACCAGTACCATGACCCACATTGACAGGAAACCAATGTTCCCAGCACCCCAGGCTCTAGCCAGGCTTCTGCAGCTGCACAGCTTCTCTCGCAGCTACAGCTTACATTCACAGCACTGCAGCACTTGTCCAGTTATTTTTCCCACCCACCACGTAAATAAAGTGACAAGTGACTTGAGAGATGAAAGCCACATGCCGATGGGAGGAGATAAATGGGGAAGAGACAGAATATACGTCACAGCGCTCTACCCCTCCCCCAGCTCCTTTAGAAACAGAACAACATAAAAAAGTCCCGATGCTTCAATTGCTAAATGATAAATTAACAAAGCAAAGCAAAGCAGGAGCAAAGACATCTCCCACAATCTGCACAGAAACAGCAAAATATACAATAGAAAATGTCACTAACACCCCATTCAGGCAGATGCACTTATTTTTTGTGAAGGACAGGTTATTAAATGAAAAAAATTTTGACCACCGGTACTTTGCTGCATGGCTGTTCCCCTCGCTGTCGTTTCCACCCTAAGTGACCTTCTGCTTAATGCTGGGTGTTTCTGGCCTGTAGTCCTTCCTCTCCGAGACGTTGCGTTTCACCTTGGCACTAACTGGAGACTCCTGATTCAAAGAAGGACTTGAGTGGGATTTCTTCAGTCCTGGCGCATCGTTCTCTCCTCCACTCAGCAGCTCCTTCACTCCTTCTTTCAGGAGGCTGACATAAATCTCATAGCGATTTTTCTGGGAAATGAAAAGAAAGGCCCAAATCAGTCTGGGAGAAATTCTGCAAGAGCACTTGAGAGACGGGCTGCGTAACTTAATGGTTTCTGCCGGCCTTGGAAGCCAGCAGCCTAATAGGGACGCGAACCATGGTGCCTGATGTGGACATGAACGACAGTGGCTAATGTAAATTAAACTGTACAAAAAGGATTTCGGGCAGACCGAGCCCCAGGGTGCCGTGCAATTAGAGGCACTCAGCTCTGCAGCACACGAATTCCAACACTCTGCCGAGCGGTGGCTCGCGGCTAGCTGGAGCACACGGTGATTGCCATGTAACACTAACAAGTGAAAGTTTGCTGACCTCAGTCACACGGAGGCATATCCTGTGCTCAGGCATACTGAGATGCCATGGGTCCCATCCAGGCATGGAAATAAAGTGCAGTGAACTAAGGGATAGCGGAAGTCCTGCTATGGTTGTCTACAGCTCTACCCTGCATCTCTTCACTCCCACCAGCAGGTCCCGCGTTTCCTACTTTTTGTGTGACTGCTTTTCCTGCTTTTCTTACCCATGAGGGAGAAATCAAAGCAGGGTCCCACTAAGTTCAGACAGTACCAGCTTGGCCACCACTAGTCCCTTGAGAGGATCTTCTGCAAGGCCAGACCTTGACAAAAAGGAGCAGATGAGAGGGCTATGACAGCAGCATGGCACGTTCCCCTGCCAGGGTCACTCACAGGGAATGATGAAGGTTGCTCTCTGCCCAGACCCTTGTATTTTTCAAATGGAAGAAGTTCCCTTTACTGTCTGCCATCCCCACTTGTTCTATTCCACATCTGGATCAGACCTTTCCCTCTCCAACAAAAGATTTTGCTCTGCTTGCCACGATTACATCTTTCTGCAAGAAACAACTCAGAAAGGAACAAAATGAGGGTACTGTGATAGAAGATCCCTGCAGGGCCTCAAAAACAGGTGCTGGGGCAGGAGGTCCTGAGAACAGAGCAATCCACCTCACAGGATTTGTTTAATAACCTGCCCCTGACATATCCCCTGAAGACGTGGTGCAGGCATTGCAGTTAAGGCAATCTCGGTGTGCTGGGGGTCAGGGAAGGAGGATGTAAACATCCCCCGTGATTGTTAATTTGTATTTTAAAGTGGCAAAACAGCGGCCAAACTATTATGCTCCTGGCAGAGGAAAAGGTATTTAAGAAAAAATTTTCCAATTTCCAGTAAAAAATAAAGTTCTGGTAAAAACACTTATTTGAGGGCAGGAAGTCAAAAAGCTCGGTAACTGCTTTGAAGTGTGGAATATAAAGGGGGAGGGGGCAGAAAGAAGAGAAGGTGACTGGGTTTTGAGAGTCCTTTGAATAAACGAATACTCACAGAGGAGGATCATAACAAAATCGACCTAAAAATTCAATAAAAAAGCATTCCTATCAATTCCGTATCTGGAGCTCCAGCTCCATAATGTGAGAGACAAACACATGAAGCAGGTAAGATGTGTCATTTAATAAAAATGGAAATGGAGAAACAGCAAGCAGAACCCTGATGATGATGCACAGGGCTGATGGATGATTCATCACACAGCAAACCAGACACCTCTGCAAAAGGCAAACCGGTGCTCTGAGCTTGGAAATAGCGTAATAGTCATCAAATGAGAGAGGGACTTTACTGCCATATGGATATCTGCTTTTTATAAGTCCAGTAAACACTAGTAGGGTCACAAGATTCGCCAATCAGAACGGAAATCCAGGATCTATATGTGTGCAAATGGCCATTTTTCCCTGGACTTTGTGGGCCCCTGATTTCTACTGCACTTAATCGATGCATTTCTATTTTTATTTCAACCGCAAAAAACTTGGTCTTTTAGTGACCTGACATTTGCAGTTAGGTAAAAGCTGGTGGGAATTTTGCCTTAAAAGAAATTAATCTGGAAAATTCTGTCAAATAAATAAAACCACAGAAGTTGAAATAATTCAAAAGTTTCTGCAACATTATTTCTGAAGACTGAAAGAACATCATAAAGTGGAGACGAGGCAGCCACCCATCAGTATTCTGGCTTCACCTCTCTCCTGACAGCACTCAAAAGATCTTTCTCAAACTATAAATTTTTTGCAACAAGCAACAAGTTTTCTGCAATCTGGTGCAGTACTGCCTCAGAGAGAAGCAAACAGAACTGTTCCTTTCTTGGTGTCTATAAGCAAAGAAACCATCAAAAAGATATGCTACCTACTGCATCCCTGAGCCAGTCACCTGTTGGTTCACCTCCCCTCAGAAGGAAACATCATCTCACTTGTTTCTCACCAGGAACAAGAATGAAGGGATTGCTAGGGTGTGAATAAAAAGGAACTATAATGACCTACAGAAAAGGAAAATGGCTTCTTCCTCCTAATGGGACTATGCTGCTTCCTTAGTGACTCACAGGCCATTTTGGGGTGCTTCTGGAGATGTATCAACATCTATGTACATAGATACAAAGTCTGGCCTGCAACCTCAACCTGGAAGAGGCAGTTACAAAATAATGCCACACGAGCCTCTTTCCCTTTTGGTTTAACCATACAGCAAGCTCTGTCACCACCTCCTGCCTGATCCCAGCAGGACATTGTTCTAAAGGGAAGATCAGGAAACCCAAAAACCAGTAGAAAGTTTTCATTCATGGTTTTCATATGGTTCACCATTTCGTTTTAGTTTGGTTTGGTTTTTCACTCAAAAAATCACAGAATATTCTGAGATGGAAAGGACCCACGAGGATCATCGAAGTCCAACTCCTGGCCCTGCACAGGACAGCCCTAAGAATCACACCATGTACTTGTTGAACTCTGTCAGGCTTGGTGCTGTAACCACTTCAGGTCTGGGGAGCCTGTTCCAGTGCCCAACCACCCCCTGGATGAAAAACCTTTCTCTAGTATCTAACCTAAACCTCCCCTGACACAGCTTCATGCCACTCCCTCAGATCCTATGACTGGTCACCAGAGAGACTGTTGTCAGCCCCTCTGCTTCCTCTTGCAAGGAAGTTGTAACTGCAAGGAGGTCTTTCCTCAGTCTCCTCTTCTCCAGGCTGAACAGAACAAGTGACCTCAGTCAGTCCTCGTATGGCTTCCCCTTTAGATCCTTCACTATCTTCATAGCTCTCCTTTGGATGCTCTCTACTATCTCTATATCTTTCTTGTGTGCAGTGCCCCAAACTGCACACAATATTGGAGGTGAAGCTGCCCCAGGTCAGAGCAGAGCAGGACAATCCCCTCCCTCGACTGGGCTCGTGATGCTTTCCCTGATGCCCCCAGGACAGGGTTGGCCCTCCTGGCTGCCAGGGCACTGCTGACTCAGATTCAACTTGCCATCGACCAGGACCCCCAGGCCCTTTCCAGCATCTCATTCCCCAGTCTGTATGTACATCCAGGGTTGGGTTGCCCTGTCTCAGGTCCAAGATCCGGCACTTCCCTTGTTGAACTTCACATGGTTGGTGATTGCCCAGTCCTCTAATTTGTTGAAGTTTCCCTGCAGGGCATATCTGTCTTCAAGGGAGTCAATGGCTCCTCCCAATCTAGTATCATCAACAAACTTACTTAGTATTCCTTTGAGTTTTGCATCCAAGTGGTCTACTAAGATGTTGAAGAGCATCTAAGATGGAGCCTTGTGGAACCCCACAGGTCTCCAGTCTGATGTCACCCCATCCACTACAACCCTCTGTGCCTGACCCGTGAGCCAATTGCTCACCCCATCACATGGTGTGTTTATCCAGCTGTGTGCTGGACATTTGGTCCAGAAGGATCCTGTGAGAGACAGTATCAAAAGCTTTACTGGAACCCAAAAAGATTACATCAACTGGCTTCCCTTGATCAGCTGGGTGGGTTACCTTGTCATAAGAAGAAAACGGGTTTGATAAGCAGGACTTTCCTCTCACAAAGCTGTGCTGGCTGGAACTGATGACTGGATTGTCTTTCTGGTGTTTTTCAGTAATTCCCACAATAATCTTCTCCATAACTTTACCAGGCACTGAAGTGAGACTGACAGGCCTCTAGTGTCCAGGATCTTCCTTCTTGCCCTTCTTGAACGCTATGACAATGTTAGCCAGCTTCCAGTATATTGGGACCTCTCCATATTCCCAAGACTGCTCAAAAATTATTGAGAGAGGCCTCGTGATGACATCAGCCAGCTCTTTGAGGATTCTGGGATGAATACCATCAAGTCCCATAGATTTGTAGGGATCCAGCTGGAGCAGCAGATCCCACACAACTTCAGGGTTGACTGGGAGTTGATCATTCTCACATTCATGGTCCTTCAGCTCAGGGCACTGAGACCCCCTTGGTCCCTCATCCGTGTTGAAGACAGAGGCAAAGAATGTGTTAAACATCTCTGCCTTGTCTCTGTCCCTGCTTGTGGGGTGACCATCCTCATCCTCTAATGCTGTGATGCTATTTCAGCACTGCCCTTTGCCATTAATGTACTAAAAACACCTGTTTTTCTTGTCCCCCACATTTCTGGCCAGCTTCAACTCCAACTGAGCTTTGGGCACAGGAATTTTCTCCTGCAGTGGTAAGCAGCATCTCTGTATTCCTCCCATGTCACCTGACTGTGCTTCCAATAGGCAAACACCTACTTTTTTTTTGCCTTAGCTCTAAAAGTAGATCCCTGCTAAGCCAAGCTGGCCTTCTACCTTGTCTGCTTGACTTCTGACATTTTGGAATGGTCTCTCGATGGTTCGACATGGCCTGTGAAATCTGTGCCAAGTGTGAAGATAAGAAAGCATTGCACAGAAGCACCTTGAATTACCATTTCTCACACATAACTGAAGTTGTTTCCACCGCTTTCCTGCTCACATGGGCACTCCTGCAGTGCTGATCATTTATGTGAACTGCACAGTTCAATTGCTGTTTGAGACTCTTAATAGAGAAGATGACATCTTTTGTTTACTCTGCTGTACTGGTTCTGATTTGCACTGAGGTACCTGAGGAATATTTCTCTAAAGATCACCATGATGAAATTGACAGAAAACAGAAAAAAATCCACAACAATCTACTCCTCCATCAATCTTTCAGAAAACATCTAAAATTCCAGCCTACATTTCATCCTGGTTCTAGAAGGAATAGAAAATAAACTTTGTGTCAAGGACCCAAAGCCAAGAAGTTCCTTGCTCTTCCAAGTTGCACAAGACCCCTTCCAAAGTGTGTGGCTTGCTCTGAGTGCCGTGTTCAAAACCGACACTGTGCCACTGATCTCGAATGTTCTGCCAGACCACTTTACTGTCAATTTCCTAATCCACTTTATCAGCTTGTCTACAAGGATGTTAGTGGAGATGGTGTCAAAGTCCTTGTTAAAGTGAAGAACAAACAATATCCACTGCTGTCCCCTCATCCATCATACCAGACATCTCATTGCAAAAGGCCATCATGTTGGTCAGGTATGATTCCCCATTCATAAGGCCATGCTGACTATTTTGCTATTGTGAAGTGAAACTCAACATAGAGATCACAACCTTCTGCAAAAGCAAAAGTACACAACCAGTCAAGTGCAGGAGTGAAAAGAGTTCCTCTAATACAAACTGGTAACACAGGGCAGGAGGCTTACTTCAGTTCTGGAGGTTTGTGTTGTGTGGCCTCCAGCATCAGCTATGGTGGTCTCTCTGACTTTTATCTTATCTGCTCTTCCTCTTCTTCAGACTATGGATTTTCCTTGCCGGGCACTGCCTATTTAGAGTAGGATCCTTTCAGACCCAAGGCAACACTGACTCGCAGTTCTGGGGGAAAAAGCTCAAAGGTGTAGTCATAACAAATACCAGACATCTGGTGGGTTGCCAACTTGCTCCCACATAGCTCTACAATGTGGCAGACACCATGATGGATAAAAGCTGCTGCCAGATACTGAGAACAATCGCCTAATGCAGTTGCCTAAGTTGCATCACTCGGTCCCGTGATCTTTAATTCTACCCTTTTCCTTCTCATCCTGACATCCAGCTCACTGGTACGCAATACAAATGGCTCTGATGAGGCACGCCTATGACAGTAATTTCAGAATGTCAGTTCCTTCAGAACATACCAAGGGAAGACAATTATCCTAATCTGCATTACTGCAGAATGCAGCCATTCTGTGAAGACTGAATGTCCAACACAGTAGGAAACACACAGCCTTACAACACAAGACATATCCTGCCTGAAGACTCCATCATCTCTTCAAACAGATACATGAGGAAAGGACAGAGGGTCTCACTTTTATCCTCCGTGTTACAGGTAAGGAGCTAAATTCATGGGTAAGGCCACAGGAAGTTCTTGTCAGAAAAAGACACCGCATTCCAGCTTCTGGGATTGCTGTGACTTTTCTGCCTACTCGAACATACTTCTTGGGGACGTAAAGCAGAAAAATGCAGGACTTTAGGACTCCACCCCAAGTATAAGACATCCCCCATCCACACCCAAAAAGTGAAAGTAATAATGTTTCCCATACATACCTCAAACTCCAGGTAGTGGTCCTTCAGTTTGTAATCATCTACTTCCTTGCCTTTGAGCTTCTTGTCAGGAGGATAGGAGCGATGTTCAGCAAGCTCAGTGGAGATCTGCTTCAGCTTAGCTTCATGGGACTTCAGCTGTTCATCCTTCAGAAACACATTAGGCATTTAAGTGACAGAATCTAAAATATCCAGTAAGCAAAGGAAAGTAAGAGAGATCCCAGTACAATAATACCAAGTAGTTTCTTTTTCTATAGATTTATAAGGTCTGTTATCCCAGAGCTCTGCCCCCCAACAGCTGTCTCAAAGGCACCCGAGAAAAGTGGCCAAGTTTGTAGAAAAATTCAACAGCCAGAAGATGCCACTGGGAAGGAGAGCAAACCTGTCATCTCTTGCCTTGCTGTGAGCAACAAAAGCAGCTTGCTGCAGAGCATTACTGACAACATGACACTTCTGCTCTAATACATTCTTTTGTAAATTAATTAAGAGTGCTGTGTATGCAGTCAAACCAAGGGCAGAATGAGAGAGGTGAAGACCCTGCCTCAGGTCTTTGCAATGTAAATGGAGTTCCTTCCAGGACAGAAAAGACATAGAGTCAGTGCCCTTCCTTCTATTTCTGCTCTACTAAAAGCTCTCTGGTGTGTGCCTTCTATTTGTTTAGAACAATACAACGCACTCAGAAGAGGAAGGGCTGTCCAGTCCCCAAAAGGTATTTCATTCTGCTAAGCTGCTACCAGCTTTTATCCCATTGTACCACTGGAGAAAGTGAGGAGTTGCTACTCCCACTTTCTAGGCAATTTCCTTTATCATAATCCGAGGCCCACTCCCTTCCTCCAGTCCATCTGTCAGCTAACCTTCCCTCATCTCAGAGGGTTTCCAGCTCCTGCAGGATGGCCTTCTGTCCATTTCTAGGCTGGGATCTGAAATTATGTTTGAAGTAGGTATGTCCAAAATATAGACAAGATCATGCAGATATTGGTGACTTAGCCAGCCATAACAAGTACCCAGCTCAGCTCCTGTTGTAGGCACCTAACCTCAGAGGAGGGGACAGCTGCCAGTGCTGTCCCTCAGCGGTGTGGCTGTGCAGCCCACAGCTTCAAGCCTAGCTTGGACACGCCTGCACTGCACTGAGTCACACCAGGGACTGAGCCTCTCGGCTCACGGAGCTGGAGCTGCAGGAAAAGCAGAGAGGAGGAAAATTTCTACAGAAAATGATAGCTAAGCCCCAGCTAATCTTGCGTTTCGACTCTTCTGCAAGAGAACTGAAGAAAGAAACATGTGGGATAATTTGCCTCCGCCTAAACATGGCAGGGCTCAAACCACTCGCTATTGGCTGCCAAAAATTCTTGTTGCTGTTAGTAACTATCCTGGTTCTGCATACTCTCCCATTAGTGCCCAACCACTCTTTACATTGAACTGAATCCCTGGTCCCAGTGACATCCTGTGGCAGCAAGTTCTACAGCCTGATAACAGGAGGTCTTCGAGCAGCTATTAATACAGCACTTGTAATTTCCAGGGCACCAGCTTTGGAGCTTTTGTGTGTGCTGCACATTCTCAGGAAAAAAAACCAAAACCGACCTTCTAGTAGATCTTTTCTAGACTGGTTGTTCCTTTATATATAGATTTGTCACATCCCTCTTTGGTTGGACTAACCAAGATCCTCTGCTTTTAAAGGAAAACCTGGTACAATGATCTTGCCCAACCTGTCATGTCCAAACTCTGTTCCTCATCCATGTTAGGTCCTCACTGCATTCCGACCTATGCCTGACCAGGAAGAGACCCTTTGAAGAAGTACTGTCCATCATGATTCATCCCACAAAACCCTGAACAGCAACCATAGGGATTTGACAATTTGTATTTTTTTGTCTGCCAAATGAGAAACAGCCTGCTGGCAGCTTTTACCCTCTGACAGATGAAAGCAGACATGTTTCTGCTTACCTTTGAATTTATCTACTTTTAACACTTAACATTCTTCTGCCCTTACCTAAAACAGCTTATCTTACTCCACTTTTCATGTCTCCCTTTCTTCGAGACAGAGACCACAGGGCTGTGACCTATTTTTTCCTTTCCAGATTAAATGGAAACAACCAGATTAGGAAACAATGTGCTAACTGGAACTGCCACACAGAACAACGAGTAAAAAAGCTTTCTCTGGTGACTGGGGGTAAATTATGGAAGCCTCATACAGTATTTTCAAAAGGGTATGCAAAAGGTAAAAGCACAAGGATGATCAGTCGGTATTATCCTTTACAAAACACGCTTTAAACTTCAACCCAGAACACAAGACAGTAAGTAGGCCACCACATTGTAAGAAGAAAGGCTACTGCAATGGAGAGAGAAAAAGTAGAGGTGACATTAAAAAAAACACCCCCTTAGAGAAATGCAGATTTTGTGACAGTGGTTTCTAAGGAGAGTTGCTAAGCTATGAAGACAGTAAAAAAACCCAAACTCATTTAAGAAGCAATCCAGCATGGGCAGATCACTTTAAAAAGTACAGGAGAATACTCATGAAGTATAACCTCTGTCACTCTGTCAACCTGATGAATGCAAACGATGTCCTGTTCCTGCCACAGCAGGAGGAATTGCAGGCATGTGTCACATCTCCCAAAGTACACAGAGCCATGGGTGCAAGCATCTGACACAGCCAGTGTGAAACAAGCTGAAATTTGTGGAGCTTTGTGCAAGAAGTAGAGCTGTGAAACTCTCTGACACAGGATGCTAAAAGCTTGTGTGATCACAAGGGGAGACCAAAAACATTCACGTAAGAAACAGTTACAAATACATATTATACAAGAAACCCCTAAGCTGATAAGGGTTGGAGTCTGGAAAATGTTGTGGGAAAAATATAATTGATGCTTGTCTAATCCATCAGCTTTCACCTTTTATCATTTCAATAAGCCAAAGACCAGGAGTATGTCTACTTCTTCTGAAATGAGTGGCCTTAATACACACTCATATTTAAAAAAACCCACCAGTCCCTATTTGAAATGTCTTCTACACAGCCATAAGCACAAGATGAAAATTCTCTGTCTGGTACTAGGAACACTGATGACTGTTTCTTTTCTTCAAAAATATAAACCAATTATATTCAAGCCTGTTCCTTCTCTCTCACCAATTCAAATCTTGCATCAGGAAATGAGCCGAGATCTACCACGTAAGCCTCCTTCTCCTAGGACTGCTAGGGGCAACAGACATAAAACAATGACAAGGACCACCATCCAGTCTCCAGCCAGCAAGAGAAATCGTCATCACCTGCCCTCTACATAAGAACATCTCACCTGAGATAGCTTTGTTGTGGTGGCTGGCAGGAGCGGGCGACTGAACTTCTTCTGGGAGCCAATTGCCGCTGGGAACGGCGGTGCAGAGAAGACAGCAGCCACACAGTTAATCTTGTTGATCCAGGTCTGCATTTCTTCTTGGCTCCTGGGGAAGAAACACATATTAAGCACCTGTTGACTCAGCCTCCTCTACCTCCTTCCACCCCTTCCGTGGCATTTTAAAAGCGAGAGTAACCAGAACTGGACAAATCTTAAGGGTCTGCTTAGTCTTCTGGTCTATGTTTGCAAGCAGTTTAGTGACAGGTAGCTCAGTCACGGGCTGGCTTGTTGTTAGGCCCATACCTCACCCTAGCACACATCTTTTCCTAATCCAATCCAAATGACACAGGTGACAGAGCCAAACAATGCTATAGGATATACTCAGACATATATCCTAAGGTCTCAGTTGTGCAGGACATCACAGAGCTCCAGGATCTGTACATGGTCTTGGCAGAAAGGGGCTCATGTCAGAAGCAAAAGGCAGGTCATCTGTTCTGTCTGGGTATCAAAGCATGAAGAACTTAATCAAATCATTCTTGTATTAACTTTGTTTCTGACCACAGTGTATCTTCTAGAAAGACATCCAGCTAGGACCTGACGACATCAGGAGACAGACAATCCAAGACTGCCTTTGGTCATTTGCTTCAATGATTAATCACCCTGACTGTTATAAGTTTGTTTCCAAATTGAATTTCCTGCAGCTTCAGCTTCTAGCTGCTGCATCTTGTTATGACTTTCTCAGCTGGATTAAAAAGCCTTTTAAAACCTGATGTTTCTTTCTCATGCACTACATGTGCACTCTAATCATATCACTACTTAATCTTATTTCTGATCAAATAAACAGATTGAACCTCTTAAGCCTCTGCTTTAACCTGTCCGGGCAGGAATTTACCCCTCCTTCAGCATTGCTTTCTCTCCTCAATGGCTGGCATGAAGAGAGCACTTACTGGGCTTGGAAAAGCAGGACCCTCCAATCTGCTGTTTTAAGCTTGAGGACATTGGGCTTCTTCTCATAGTCTGTTGCCTTGGATGCCAGTGCATGGTGCACACTAACCGCGTTCTTCAGATCCTCCTCCGACAAAGCCTTTTCTGGCTTATATTCATCCTGCAGGAGTTAACAGGGGGAAAATGGCATCTTATTTCTGCACGTGCTACTCCTTTTTCCTCAACCTAGGGAAAAACCCTGTTCCACAGTTCACAAATAGCAATAAGGTATATGAACCGAATGCAACCTGACTTGAGCACTTGTGGTTTCTACTACCTTTAACACGTTTTCCTTTTTCTTTTTTGGTTTTTTTTTTTTTTTTCAATCTCTTTCTAAGGAAGAGAAGTAGTTTTGCTACCTGCTTGAAAGAAAGAGAGGTAAACAGGAAGTATCTGACTATCAAAACAGTTGTGGACTACCTGTCTTCATTTCAGGAATCCTTCATAACCAGCTCCCACCTCCACTGCTCAGCTACTTGGGTTCTCAGCCTCCACTGCTTGATTTTAATTCTTCTCAAACAATACTTTGTATATATACAACAACTTTGTATTTTCTCCTAGGCAGCCCTTACACACTGAAGAAGCCTCTTTATCAGTCTGCACAAAGCAAATATAGCAAACTCCCTTAAATCTCTCTACTCAGAGTCCACAAATGGCAAGCATAGCCCTGTCCAGGGTTTTTGACACAGTAACAGTACCACTCCTAGCACCAAAAGACAAAAATGGGACTCAAACTTCTCTTGTGTTGCAAGCATCAGCCTGGAAGCAGTCTTTGATCTCCTGAGTGACAGAAGCTATATAAAGGCACAACCTCGGTCTAACCACAAGTTCTGTGTGAAGCTCTCATGACTATAAATGGCTTGGGAAAGCCAGGAGCTTTTTCAAGGAAAAGTCATCCGCCAGCAGTGCTGCGTCACTTTGTTTCTGAAGGACAAGCCAAAGCAGTCTGTAATTGACTCCATTTCTCCCTCTTAGTACATCACAGACATCAGTCTCACCTGAAACACACACCGATGTGACAACTGCAAAACAGAGGAATAACTCCCTGCAGGCATAATAACTACTGATCCTCCACTTGAACACAAGTTACAAGATGAGGTTTAGGAGGAAACAGAGTGCAGGACACAGGGCGTGTATGAGGATAGCAGTAGCTTCAACAGCCAGGGAGGCACCTGCCCTGAAGAGGAGCTGGTTAAGGTGCATAAATTCGTTTACAGGGCTTCTCTGGTAGCACACAGAACAGGACTGCAGCCAGAGGTTTCCACACTGCTGCCAAAGGTATCTGTGCTTTTGGACAAGACGGGCTGGGGCTCTCCAGGACGAGTTTCAGTGGATGGGGCATCACCAACTGTGGTGACCACCTCTCAAGAGGCAGGACAAAGCATCCTGCTCCTCTGCCATGCCTCATCCTTCCTGACAGAGCTCCAGCTAGTGCAGGCCCAGAACTTGCCACTGCTGCTCAGACATTTCACATGAGGAGATGCAGCTATCCAGCAGTCCTGCCCCAGCACCACCTCCACCCAGGGCCAGACAATGGCAAAACACAACACAGGTCTGGTAAGCCCAGCAGAAAGACAGAGCGCTACTGCACAGGTGACCAAAGGGTAGCCTTCAACCTAAACATCTGCAACATGAGGGGTTTTCAAGGGCTGGCAGTGGGCAAAGCCAAGTGTCCTTCCTCTCCCATAGCTTGAGACTCTGCAGGATTTGGAGGAATGTCTCTATCATGACGGATTTCATCTATGCCCGCTTAGGGCATTCCCCAAACCTTCTTCAAGAAAGATCTGAGAATCCAGACTCTAGCCAAAAGACAATCACTGGAGGAGATTGTCCAAAGTTGGGCATATCTCCATCCTGAAGATGGAAGAGACAAGGCCCCAGGTCAAGCCCCTGTCTTTATGGGTTCAAAAGCTAATTTATTTCGTGGTAGTTTTGGGGGAAATGACTGGCTCCACTGTCCAGGGAGACTGGGAAAACTTCAGAGCCAGGAAGTGAACTCAGACAGGCCTCAGGAATATGATATTCTGTCTTTCCTCAAGTTACTGCCTAGAGACAGTGTCAGCTATCACCTAGCCTGTTGCTACCCTGCTTCCTCTGCGACTTGCATCCAGTGTCCACAATCTGCTCTGGTGTCTAAACTGTTCCAGAAAAACACCACATTTGGGCAGCCCCAGAAGCAATCCTGGCTGAGAACCCCTTCTTTCCGACAGACAGTGCTCCCGATAATCCTTCCTAATCCCACTAGATCAGTTAGCTGAAATCTACCTTGACAGCTGGGGCTCTGCCAGCTTCTCCAAGGGCGCTGATCAGCATACCAGAAATGTCTCCATGTCATTGGCCAGTCTCAGAGCAAGCTATTAAGAACATGAATGTGCTGTCAAAATTCCTTCTCTAAAGCCTTCAACTCTTTACGACTGGTGGGGAATGCTATGGCAGCAGGAACATCCGTTTTTCTCCTGTGCCACCAAGCACGTGCTGGTGTCAGCATGGAGGCTGAGCTGAAATGGAAGGCAGCTCTCTAAAGTTAGACCAAGACAGTGGCAAGAAATATATACAGAGCCAGAAAGGAATTGTGGCCGCTCTGTCAACTGAAGGCTGATGTGAGTGCTGCACACAATGGAATGGCATGCTGAATTCATCTTTCTCAAACTCCTGGAGAATGACTTTCCCATATCCTGCTGACCCACAGTCAGCATGTTTCTAAATCCATTTTTGATAGACCAGAGAATGACATTTGTCTTTTTATCAGTCAGTGTACCGTGGGTGGATTTCTCCACTCAGCTGCATGTGACAGCTGCAAAATTCTCTTTCAGAAAGTCTCGTCACCGAACACGTTACATCATTCTGGCCTTTCTCTATTTTTATTTTTATTTTTTTAATTTTTAACAGAGGAAATTTGAGAAAAGCTATATAAAAATACCCAGAAGCCTGTAACATTATGAAGTCACACATCTAAGAGAAAAGATGTCGTGAATCTCACAGAAGAGCCCGAACAAAACACGAAGGTTCCTGTCCAGCACTTCTCGCCCAGAAGCAATTTCTAGCAAGGAAGCGAGGTCAGCCTCATGTCCTCTTCTTGTAAACCTCTCTTCTGTATGCACATCACATCCCATGCCAGTCTAGAGAACAGACATTCTGTCAAGCTCCTACTTTGCAATTTCCTGTTGCTATGAACAGAGGGCAGGAAATTAACCTTGGCCTGAGGATTCCCAGAGACAGGGATAACATCCTAAACATGTCAGACTTTTCATTTTATGTAATACTGCGCAGACACGTTTAGTTGGCTAATTGTGAATGCTTCCACTGAGCCCCTCCGGTGCCCTCTGGGCTCACTAATCCACAAACCATCTCTCTTAAAGCACTCATTTGAAAACAAAACAATATGCAGCACAGGAATTAGCAATGGAATAATTCCAGTGGGAAAGATAAACAATAAAAAATGTGGGCATGGAGACAGGACTGCCCAGGAAAACTCCCCAGTGATTCTCCAGTGACCACCATTTACAAAACACTCTCATACATGGACTTTTGACAGCAAAACAAGGAGAACCGGAATGTAAACAGAATGACAGCAGAATTGGGATCACACTGCCCACTGGGGGAATCACAGCTGCTACAAACAATTAATATTTATATTACAGTAGTGTCTTGAGGGAAAAGCTGAGTTACAGATAAACAGAGAAAGCAATACTGCAGAGGTGTGTACATGTGTTTATGTGTAGAGAGCACCTGAACAATGAGATTTCTCTCTGTCTTGCTTGAATAGCACTCAGTGCAATGAAACCACCATCACAGACGTTATCTCCACAAATATACAGAGAGCGAGAGAGAGGAAAAATGTGTGTGTGCATGTGAATGCACCCTAGCCTACAGCACTCTTTAATCAAGAGACAAGACTACTGCCAGAGCTATGCACTTCCACAAAGAAATCAAGCTGTTCTAAAATACTCCCGAACCTTCTAGAATTACTATAATTTACATTAAAAAATGTACATTACGAAAGGAAACAACAGATCAGAAACTTTTACTATAACCACTTGGCCTAGCTCTTATTTTAAAACCCTGGCACCCTCACCTCAGCTCCCTAACAGAGCAAAGTCTATTTAAGTGCTGAGGCAAAGCCCTGGTGGACCTTCTGGAGCTGAAGAGAAACCAGAGGCTTTTTCACAGCTGCAGCATGTGGCTGAGCAGGGTTCAGAGGCACCCTGGGGAGGCTCACACCTGACCACTCCTGGAATGAGTTACTTCCCATCGCACCCTTCTGTCAACCTTTGACAGCACCTAAGTAAAATCCTTGCTTGTCAGTGTGCTACAGCAAGATGGTTTCAGCGCAAATGTCTTCCCAGATCAAGTGGGAGAACGTGGCTTTGCAGAGTACTGCCCTGTAATCACAGAATTCAAGTGCTTCGACAAGTGCAAAACACACAAATAACAAACAAATAAGAACAAGAACTCCAACAATGCATTTCATTCCACAAAGATGCAGTCATATGTGAAATTACTCTCTTGCTCTTCAAAGCATGGAGAGTGAGAGTGGGGAGGGCAGTATTCTGTGGAAAATTTGCATGCTACATCAGCATCTCAATATTTTGTTAAACAGAAAGCATTTTAAACTAATATGCCAGTGAGACTCATAATAATATCTAATTAAGACTCTAAAACAGACAGTATCCTCAGTTCTTACCCTTGAAAGCTTATTAATCCCTCCTTAAACATCAAATAAGAAATTAATTAATGTATTACAAACAAGGAGCCTTTTTACTGCTTAGGGAACCATGCAGTCTTTTCGGGTGAACACTAAAGGTGACTTATTTGAGAAACTGAAGCAGGGGACTTCATTTCGCCCAGGAAATGGCAAGTACAAAGGTCACTTTAGTAAAACCTGAACCTGCTGCCAGTAAGAGGACTTGGGATTCAGCAGACTTGGTTCTAGTCTCCTGCACTGGCTTTGAGCATATCACATCCATCTTTCAGCCCAAATCTTCCATCCTGACTGCAGACTGTTTTCTCTGTTCCAGGATTTCAGCCCTCTCAAAAAGGTACTGCACCCAGAGCGTCCAGCTTGCAAACCTCGTGCTGTAATAATTTGATCCAAACCACTCTCTTTCTTCTCAGAGAATAGTCAGGTTGGTTGCAATGAAACCAACAACTTCAGAAAGCCACAGCAAGGGAGGAGGAAATGTACTTGCAGAATGCAGTTGCACTCCTGACAGCTGCAAAACGTGGTGGAAATGTAAAACAGCTTTCGAAGAAGCATGCTTCTGCAATACAGAGCAGTCTGGACAAGCAGCACCTATTCCATGAATATTTCATCTACACTGGGGGGCAAAAAGCCTTAGCAACCTACTTAGCTGCTACGATTTATTTGATTTTGACAGCTCTCAGTCATATGTTGCATTTTATGTTCCAACAGTATAGTTAAAAATGTACTGTAATAAATTTAAGCTTGTGACAAAAGGCTTGGAGGGTTTCATTTGACTTTTTTTTTTTTTTTAGACTTCTTGCTGTCAGGAAGCACATTTTGTTAGAAACCAGTCTCTTCTTGCTTTGGCAAAAAAAAAAATAGTATCCTTTTATCCTTCAGTTTTGCAATGGAACAGAAGCTGCAGATTCCTACCAAGGCCAAGCTGTTGTTCAATTGCTTTGCAGCTGGTCTTGCAGGCACTGCAGTGAAGTATACTATGAAAAGGTGAGAAAGGAGGACAACCTTACAGAAGGGGAAGTCATACATATGAAATGCAAAGTTAAAAGCACCCTAGAGGAATCTGTGCAAGACACACAGAGATGAGGCTGCCTTTGCTGGTGAAGCTGTCTATTTTTTTCAGCCGCGAGAGACAGCAACGGGACAGCAATGGAACAGATAGGGTGCACATGTGGATGGGACAGTGGAACTGCACTTGAAACTGTGAAAAGGGAGAGGGTGTCAACGAAAGGATTCATGCCTGAATGTGTGTGTAAACAGGGTGCAGGGTAGAGAGATCAGCTACGCTGTGAGTTGGAGAGAAAGGAGCCTGGAGGTAGGTTGAGAGAGTGGAGAGGATGCCTGCTGCTTTATCCCTCTTTAATTAGTTTTCAAAAGACAGTGATTTCCCCTACCTTCTGCAAGTACAGGACGGTTCCCTTCAACACAGCATAAAAGGTTTTCCAGCCTCGCTTTCCCCGGGGAGCTGCAAAGAAAACAAATGAAAACCCATTTAACTCAGATCCATTTTTACACTTTTTCTAGGCAACAGGAAAGCTACATTAGTCCTGTGTTAAACCTCCTTTGTACTATCCTTTTCAAAGGACAATGCAACTTAGCACAGTGCCTGCACATACCTGCTGTGAGAGAGAGTAATACAACAACCCTGACAACAGCCCTGGACTGGATCAGAAAGGGAACAACAGCACTGCAGAAAGAAGGCCACAGAGATCCAGTCTTTGTGTACTTGCAGGTAGGCAAACACTGCCCCTACACAGCTAGGTCTGAGTGCTGCACTGTGGTACTTTTCAGAAAGAAACACTCTTTCTCCATGTCACAGTAGGCTGGCTGGCACTGCTCAGGACCTACAGGACACTGCTCAGAAAGCAGTGTCTCTCAAGAGCATCCTTTGCCTTACTGGTGCTGCACACCCAAGTTGGGATTTAGAAAGGAGAAGGGTGCCAAACAGAATCGTAAGGGAAAATACCCCACCCCTCAAGAAACCTAAAGTCAGTTACAGGTTGAAGAACATAACAGAGACAACATATCCAGCCCATGATTTCCTAGAAACAAACAGTAGGGGAAAAAAATTTCATCATGAAAGCTGAAGGATCTGGTTTGAAATTCAGCCACAACAGAGGGAGAGAAGAAGGCACAGCTGTATGGTCACAGTGCCAGAGACCAGAAGCCTGCAGCTAAGCTCTCTCTCCACCAAGCACACACCAGCATCCAGATATATACACACCACTGCCCTTACACTGAAACTAATAACCCGTGCACAACTGAAGTGTGATACTCAGAAAGGCATCCCACTCTGATCTGAAGAAAGCAAGTGATGATGAAGAGGTTACAGGTCCCTTGCTCCAGAGGTTAATCATTCTCATTTTGTATAACAGACCTTATTTCTAATTGCCATTTGCTCAGCTCAGCTTCCAGGCATAGGCCCCTCTTACATTCCTCTCCTCTAAGTGCCTAAGTGCTTTAGCCCTCAGTACTCCTTTCCTGAGAAAAACATACAAGCATTCTAGTACATCACTTCCTTAAAAATCCTGCACAAGCTGATCTCTGCCCTCCAACAGCTCTATTAGGAAATGGAATATGAAAAGGTCTAACTAACTTTAAAAAAAAATTTTTGTTTTGTTTTATTTGCCACTAGAAAGCCAGGATGCAACTTTTTTGAGAGCTTCACGACAATGAGACAGACCTCTGAGTTGTACAAGAGCTTCTGAAAACATGGCCTTAAATTACATTACTCATAAAAGGGTTATGCCCAAAATGAGCAGTTCTGATACCTATAATTAAAGAAATCATTTAATAAAGGCAACCAGATACAATTACTTATTAAGGTTAAATAAGCAGACGTTTAATAAAGAGGAATCTATTCAGAGCATCCAGTCATCACAAAGAATGAGGTCAGTTTGATTTTGACATGTCTGTCTGGATTTAGTTGTCCAGCTGTCAGCTTCCATCTTGAAAACGCTGACCTCCAACTGTACCCTCTAAAATATACTAGCAAAACATGGGAACACCAAAGAGCTTTGCCTAGCTAGGAGAGACGGGCAGCTACAGGAAACCCATCACAAAGCCAGAATTTGTCTTCAGGATTTAGCCCAACAATGTGAACCATGAGCAGGCAATCATCAACCATTATCAGGGAAAATACAGATGCTCTGAGTAACCATGTTGCTTCCAATACCAATAGAAAACAAATGAAGACACTCAAGGAACAAAACACACACAGGTGAATCAGAGGCCCTCGTTAATTAGTGCACCACCAAACAGAAGTACTAAAAGAAGGAAAGAGGATAATTAAAGTAAGAGATGCAGCAGGATTATTACAAGAAAGGGGCAGAGAGGAACTGCATGGTAAAAAGCTGGCTGCTGCCAAAAGCTGCTGCACTTCATTGGGTGTCTGACCCAAGGCTGGGAAGGCAGGGAAGGGAATGGTTACAGGATCTTCCAAGTAGAGGTAAAGAACTGCCCTCCTTTAAAGACAGACCCAGAAGGGAGGGGAGATTTGGAACAAACCGGTGTCACGTAAGGAAACAGAGAATTACCAAATTACTGTGGAACAGCTACTGTAATTCACTTGAAATTGTTTTCCCTTCTGTAAACCACAATATTAATTTTCTTTTAGCGCAAAAAATTCACATTGCTTTGCTGTATCACATTACTTATTACGCTCATGCATTAGAGCTGCTGCAAATGGGACTAAGCATTGTAAATCCTGGCCTAACAGTGAGAGTGTGATAATTCAATTGCTGTGTTGTTTGTTATTGCTTCAATTTCCCCTAATGAAGCAGCAGCACTATTTGCCTTGAGAAGCACATGGGCTCATTGATAAGCAGCACTGTGTAGACATAATAAGAAAATAACACGTTAAGAGTGAAAAATACTCACTTTTCTTTCCGTCCATATCAGCATGGATTTTCCGAGCCAGAAATCCAGTTTTATACACAGCAGCATTGGGGTCATGAGGGATGTCCAGGAATGGGTTATTTGAGTTGCCAATTCGACTGACAGCCTTTGTCTGGCTCCCATTATCCTTTTCATCTGTACCATCGGAGTGAGACTTTTTTTTCTCCTCTTCATCCCTTAAAAAGCAGTGAAAATTAAGCATAAACTATGGACTGACCACCAAAGTTTCATTTCAGCAATTCTTGAATGCTCCTTGTCAAAACATACCTCCCTCTTTATAGGGGGCCTTTTTTATGGAAAAGCCTAAATACATGTTATATGAATGTAGTTGTATTATAGCAAAGCTTCAGGTCACTTTCTTCACCAGCACAGGACACAGAAGCCAGATTTTCAATAAAGCCCAAGTTTCCATAACAGTCTCAAAAGATAAGACTTCAAGAGTGTTCTGTGTACTCCCACATCACCTATTTTTAATTCCACTTATCTGAGTGCTAAAATGGGAAATATTTGCCTGCTGGGCTCTCCTGAAAATTCTCCAATTTCTTCATGAGTTCATATGTAGATGAAAAGAATTAGATTACTGCAGATCACTGTGGCTTACCCATTAACTTAGTATATGAAATACAGACTCTACCTCTTTTTCTTTATTTTTCTCTACAGACTAGCGTAAAAGTAGTAATTTAAAAATAACAACTACTCTAGGTGAACTACATTATCTGTATTTTGGAAACAAAATGCTGCTCAAAATGTTACTTACGAGGGCAATGTATTCAACATAGCTCTTGGGGACAATAATGCACCAAGTTACAGGCACCACCTGACTAATAAATGCCTTTTTGCTCGTCACAGGCAAAGGCTAAAAAGGACTCGACAACACAGAAAACAAAGGGTGTCAATCACAGGAGTAGGACAATGGTTTTTAGAGAACAGGCCACTGAACATAGGTGGATGGTGTATCTGGAGGAACCACAGCTAGTGTCAGATTACAGAGCAGCCCTTCTTCCTCCTGAGTCCTTTGAAGTCCACGTACCAATTTACTAGGAAATGTGTATCGGGGAGGATGAAGGCTGTAATTGGAAAGTCATGGCAGCAATGCTTCTCCTAAGACCAGTATCTGATTGAAAAAAATATTATTATCATTTGAGCATAATGGTGGCTCATACTGACAACCTACTGGGGGTGGGCTTCAGGCTGCTGTATCTCACTGGACCTGGAAGATTAGCAGAGAGAGCAAACTCGGGCAGACCTTCCAACCACATGTACATGTTCAAAGGCACGTATTAAATGAGGATTAGCAAGGCATATGTTGATCCAGAAGCTCCTTTAGGAACACTCTGCTACCATGTCTACTTATGGGAATGACCATTCAAAGAAATGTCCTCTGAGAACTGCAGGCTAGAGGAACAATCTTTGTTATTCTGAACTCTGCTGAAATGGAGGCTCAGGGGAGACCCCATTACTCTCTACAACTTCCTGAAGTCAGGCTGTAGCAAGGTGGGGCTCAGCCTCTTCTCCCAGGCAACTAGCAACAGGACAGCAGGACATCACCTCAAGCAGCACCAGGGGAGGTTCAGGTTGGACATCAGGAGGAATTTTTTCATTGAAAGGGTGGTTAAGCATTGGAATGGACTGCCCAGGAAACTGGTGGAGTCACCATCCCTGGAGGTGTTCAAGAAATGACTGGACATGGCACCTACTGCTATGGTCTAGCTGACAAGGTGGTGTTCGGTCAAAAGTTTGACTTGATCTTAGAGGTCTTTTCTGAACTAGATGATTCCAAATGAAATGATTCTATGATTCTATGAAATGGTCTTCTGGGGAATAATTTAGCCTGAGGGGATAAAAGTACATTAGACCGGACAATAAGGAAACCAAATCCAGAAACACAGAGGCTGTATCAGTGAACTCCACAGTACCAGGGTATGTTCCCAAGCATTTGACTTTGATCACCTCATATTAATTTATCCTTGGCATAGTCTCAGCCCAGCATACTCCCAGACACCACTCAGGAATCAGCACGATCAAGGACCACCCTAAGAAGGACCATCCTAACAGGCAGGGTGGAAACAAGTGTCTCCTTTCAGAGGATACAACTTTTCAACAGTGTGGATACAGATGCTACACACTGACATTTGTCCCCAGAGTCACACAAAGGTGCTAGACACTTGATTTAATTGTAGAGATATAGTCAAGGAGGTGCACCATAACTTCATGGTGTTGTCTTGCAAGGTCTCCTGATTAAGGCGAGCAAAACTTTCACTGGAAAACCTGATTCCTGCAAGGGAGAGTAGTCCTTGCATCTTTTAGCCTATTGATGTGTGCTCGCCCACTCCAGAACAGAAAGTTCTGCAAAACTTTTCACTGGTCAAAGCAGTAAAGGACTTCTTCATGCACGCTTTGGTTGAAGCCCTCTCCCAATTAAAAAAGTGTAGGCATTTCTGACAATTTTGTTTGCCCCCACCCTTCCTGTGTCTACTACACTCACAAGCTGCCGGTAAACCTGAATCATCATGTGACATGTGTTTCTTAGATGTATGTCCATTTCAGGAGCAAATTCTCTCAACACAAGTCTGTGGCACTTAATCCAGACTAAAATCTCTCAAAGGGCATAAGTACTCAGGCTGATTTGTCACACAGAAGTGCCTTGTGAATTCTGGGATCTCAGCCAAGGACACAGTGGATTTCTCCTTGTCAGCAGAGACCTACTGCAGTAAAAGGCTTAACATTTTTTTGGAATAAGCTCTCTCCTTTGAGCTATGGGAGAGAATTACTGTATAGTGGTCAACTGTCCTGTGGGAATACACCAATGCCCTTAATCAAGCAGCCCCAGGTGGTGTAATGAGCAACCCTGGACAATCCTGGACACCACTAAGTGCTGGGAGCAGTGCTCTTAAACTCAGCACCTCTGGGGCAGCTAATAAAACATGAATTCTTCAAAATGCAAGGCGGACAAAGACAAAGTAGCATCTGTTGTCAAGACTGCTGGTAGCACTGAACAAACCTTTAATTGGTCCTTTGATCTACCATGAAAATGGGACATCCTTGAGACTCAGAAGATTTAGGCATTTCTGAGAGTTGTGTACTCTGACAACATGCATGAGGTCAAGATGCGCAAGTCAGTCTGCAATGACTAGAGGAGCTAGAGAGGCAGGAAGGACTCATTACAAACTAGAAATGTATGAAACCCAGAGGATCTGGGATTCATTTTTTCAAATACTCCATGTTGGTTCAGTGGTCAGGCATAAGAAGAATGCAGGACGATTGGGAGGACTGTCAAAATAGCAAAAAAGTTCAGCTATTAGCCTATGCTCAGGTGTCCTCCAAAGTTGGCTGAGTAGGTAAATCCTGGATACTCTTTACCAAGGATGTAACAATTCGAGCTTACTGCTCACAAGCCTTTAGGGTACACTTTCAAGGAAGAACTGAGAAAATTCAGCAGGCCTCTGGGTACATGAACCTGAAAACTGATCTTTGTTGGAAACCCTGGCCTGTGGGGGATCTGCCTACCTCCCCACCCTCAGATGCCTCTCACCAACCATTCAAGCCCCGTAACATCCCCAGCGTGAGGGCAAGAGTCAGTGGGGTGGGGTCTCTGTGCAGGTATGTTCAGACTCACGGATGGGATGTAGTATCACACAGGCATAGCTCAGGTCCTTTTTAAGGGCAGGACCAGTGCCTCTCCTTTCTATTTCATATAGAAACTAGCATAATCCTGCTGCCTTTGGCAAAAAAAAAAACACGATGGGTCCAACACACCTTTCAGTAGCCAAACATCATCATGAAGGTCCACTTAGGTTTGCAGAAGTCTTAAGAGATTTTCTGCCTTTGATCAGCAGAGGAAGATCATTCCTGGCTCTGGGTCTGGAATCAATTCCTCTGGTGACCCCTTTGTGATGACTGGAAGGGGTTGATAGCTGTGAAACCTCTTGCAGGTCCCACTTTCTATCCACAGGAAATGGGACCTACAGTGTCTCTGTTCTGCAGGGTACCGGGGACAAGAAAATACCTCAATACTCTGCTTATGGCACATGGTATTTGCAAAGTGTCCCAAAACAAGGAGCTTCAGTTCCACCTCCCTAGGCCTGTCTCTTTGGAAAAGGACCTGCAGACAGAGCAGCAACCAGCACTCTGGCTGCCCATGAGAACCAGCAGACCAAAGCTAGGATCTGCTTGCTCTATCACTCCAAGTCAGAGCATTGAAACAGCAATGTTTTCCTTTCCAAACACATGATTGCTGACAAGTAGAAAGAGTTTGCCTCTTATTCTTAAACACACAGATTTTAAAAACTTAAAAATCCAGACACTGCCATTCCAGTGAAAAAATATATTTTTTGCCTCTCCCCAGAAAGACCCTATGCAAGGAAGTCCCATTTTTGTATTTTGGGAGAAAAGCACCATCCAGTTCTCTCAGTAAGAAAAATATTACTGTATTCTCTGTGGTCTGATTTGAGGGTCTGCCTTGGAAAACCTTGGAGTCACTATGCCAGAAAGATGGAGTCAAGCCCTTAATTTTTTAAAAGCTGCTTTGTCTCTGCATTTGTTCAAATATCAAACTGACATGCTGTGGCAAAAGGTTGGGTTCATTAATTTAAAAATTTTAATTGAAAAGCAATTCAGATTTGTAACATATGCATCTGTGGAATTGATAGCATCTGTATCAGGAAAGTGACTTGAAAGAAGTTTTGGCAATTTGGAGGGAAGAAAGGAGACCAGAGTGATTACCACCTGCCCCCCCACTAAAGCAAAAAAAGAAGCTGCAAACAGGAAACATCCTCGAACTTGGGAGACAAAGAGTTAATTACAATGGGGAGAAGTTTCTCAGTTTGACCTAGAAAAAGGTGAGCTTCAGCACAGATGTCTTTATAACCACCTTGATCTCAGCATCACAGTTTGATTTGGCAGTGTCCCTTTTCCACTATCACTATCTCAATGACCTGCTTTGTTTTGGCTGAAAGGAGATAATTTTTCACTGTAGTCCAGAAAAACAAAAAAGAATACACCATGTCCATGTCTAAACTTCTCTGGAAAAAAACCTTTATCATCAACTAGCTAAAAATCAAGTAATTCTCCTGAAAACTATACTGTTCTGCTGTGAGAAATCTTTTGGGATACAGCTGGCTCAAATGCAGCCATTTGGCTTTAGCAATTTTGTAAGCAGTGCTTTGGGATTTTGTATGTTAATTCTAGATCACCTATTTTAAGATGATGATTTTATTATTCCTATCACCTTCAACAGGAAACAGACATAGTATTACAAACAATGGAGAACAGTAGTGTTCACCACCACATTTCCATGTAAACATCATGCAGACAGAACATATTTAGCTCTGGCATCTTTATAATCAAATTGATTTTTCTCTTCCAGCTTAAAGATGATAATGCTCAGTGTGAAAGCAAAAGGATGAGAAACATCTACAAAACTTGGGATACAGTATTATGGACAATGAGACTGAAGGGATGTTAGGAGGCTGGCCAATCCATCTCTAAGGCTGGATCCACTCTTCCTAACCCATTCCAGACAGAATAACCAGTTCACAAAAACCTCAGATGAAAGCACTTCTGTAGCTCATCCGGGCAAACCTGTGCCCTGGTTTAAAAGGCTTATTGCTAGTAAGCTTCTCTAAAGGTCGATCCCAAACTTCCCTTGCTTCAAATTTAAGCCCATCCACAATGGACGTGAAGAATAATTCGCACCTTTGGGACGTGCAGTGCGGAGTAGAAGTGTGCTTTCACCAGTTCAGGGTAAATTCCAGGTCAGATCTCTTTATTTTACAGATCATGGTATGTGATTCACTTTTAACTTTCTGGAGAACTCGAGCCTGGCACTACTGCAGAAAAAGAATAGTAATACAGTGCTCTCTTCAGAGCTGTACTTGTGCTTTCCTGTTCATAAAGGGTAAATGAATACTCCTATTGAAAGTCCCTGAAGCACATCTGCTAAGGTGCCACTTTTCTTGACTACAAAATTGGAGTCAATGGTAGCCTTTTCTTTGCATGGGCTTTGTATCAGACTATAATTCTACTGGAAATGCAGAGCAAAGCATTTAGGATGATGACACGCCTAGCTCACAACTAGTAAGATAAGAATCAAGGTAGCAATCTTTCCCCCTCTTCTGTATCACCATTACCCTCCCCTGCCTATGGACTTATTGATAGCCACTAATCCACCAAATAATATATTTCCAGAGCAGCTCTTACACCTGTGTTTAGCTTGTAAGAGTCTTAGATCCTCAAAGGGATTCTGGCTGGAGGAAAGGCATTCCTTCAAAATGCCAGCATTGCAAGGGAGTTTATACTGGGTTTTGCAGACTTATCTTCACCTCTGACTTACCTCTCACTTCTTCCCCTGGCAAGTGCATCAGGGAAGCAAAAGAATAATCTTTGGAAGGGAGAGTGGACCTTCCTCAATCCCATCACAGCAAAACTGACCATGTTTCCTTCCTATTCAGGTCACAACAGCAGAGCAAGAGAGTTATGTGCCTCCTCCCTCTAGCTCAGGCAACAATAGGGCTCCTTGGGGTTATTACTTTACACCAATTACATCCCTCTGTAAAAGTGAGGAGAAACATTTTCACACTCCCTCTTTCAGCTAGTACTCTCAGCTCTAGAGGTAAAGGCACAGTCTCTTTGACCATGCCCAGAATGACTTTTGTTTCTCATCATGGAAAGTAATTGTCACATTAGTCCCAGCCATCTGTCAGTCTCAGAAAGGAACAGACAACTGGCCTCTTTGAGCATTCCACTGAGAGAAGGTGACTTTATACCTACCCAAAGTCTTATTTAAGGAAGAGTCTGAATTCTTCCTCTTCCAGCCTGCTTGCAATTTTCCCCCAAATAAGGGACATGGACTAGACTACGTAAATGCCAAAGCAGTTACCACCTATACAAGAGAAAGCGATCTCATAAATCACCTTGACTGAAGTTCATGGGACCAGAGCCAGTCATGAGCCAGTTCCCACCTGGAGGCTGCCCAAGCGTATTAGACACGGTATGGTTTCCTGGCAAGAGCTGGAGGAAAATTCTGACATCAAGAAAGTCACACAATGGATTCTGTTGGGTCTAAAGTACCTGTGACAGGGTCTGGCAAACAGCTCTGATGTGACATGGAAGATTCACACGGCGTGTTCCAGGTCCAAGACACAGTCTGGGAAAATGTCTCCCACCATGATTTTTATGATGCTCATCAGAGACGGCACTTTTTGCTGATTCCCCTTAGCAGCACACCTTCTTTACTATTCTGACATTGCCTAACAAACATCTGAACTGGGACTGCAATCCCGGTTGGAACCAGCAGCCCTTTTTAAGCAAGGCCGCACACCTTGACAAGAAACTCATTTGCAGATCATGAACTTAAAACAAGGAAGAGTGGAAGCCAATTGGCCTGCAAGACCTATGGCAGTTGCTAGGACTTCTAGCACAAAAGGTGCAGCAGCATGCACTCTAAACATATATTATTCCCAAGAAGGTGAGGTTTCAGATATGTAAATACGTGCAGGGAAATATTTTGTACAGGCAAAATAGATAGAAAACAGCATTCTTCTATTTTACACCAAAATCTGCAAGTGGCAAGATCTAAAGGAGACCCTTCTACTGTTTGCTGGCATAACTAGACCACATGAAACCTGAGGGAATGTCACACAGGGAAATGTCAATTTAACACAATCTGAAATAGAAGCTTTTGCTTGTCTGCAGTATTTCCACAGTTAACAAGTGTTCACCTGTCAAAAGCAGGTAAGGATTAGGGGTGATATCAGACTTTGTCCAATTTATCATCTTTCATATTAGGCTGTTGTCAAGTTATCCATAGTTAATCAGGAGACAAACCAAGACAATAAACCAACAGCAGGAAACTCAATCCAAGACGTGTGTTTCTATTCAGTGGTTCTGACACAATGTACAGAAAGATAAAGGGAGAAGTCAACTTCTGTTTTATTTATGCAGTCATAGAACAACAGAGGATTTAATTTCTCTCTTTTCAGGCTGAAGTTTCCTACTAAATGAAATGTCCTCTTTCCTTACAAATGTAGTTGGCTCCTATCATTAACAACTCCCCTTGCTGGAGAAACAGATGAGGCTGAATTGCCAGGTCATTCATTACCAGAAAATCAAACTCATTATGTACACTGGCTATCTTCTACAGGCTTTGGAGCCCACACAGATGGTGTCATAGGAGGTATAAACAGATTACTATACAGCTACTATTTTTAAACTCCTAATTTCTACACAGTATACTTACACTGCCCATTCCAGCTTCTCATTCTTGATTGAATTGTAGAGGGCCTGCAAAGGGAGAGAAATGAGATGGAATTATTGCTTGACCCTTATCACACATGAATACATTGAGGAAATATACACATATGTTGAGGAAAGGTACCCAACTAATATCAGCAAGCAAGCTGCCTCTGACCAAGAAAGTACCATATCTGCTCACAGGAATGCAAAAATGTAGAGCAGAAATCTCACCTACGGAAAATATCCTAAATGCACGTTTTGAGAGTACAGTCATTTCCTCAAGCAGGTTTTTGGGGTTCGTGGTCTGTGCCTTCTTAAAATAGGAGAATCACAGAATGGCCTGGGTTGGAAAGGACCCTAAAGATCATCTACTTCCAACAGCCCTCCCATGGACAGAGAGACCTTTCACCAGACCAAGTTGCTCAGAGCTCCATCCAACCTGGCCTTGAACACTTCCAGGGATGGGGCATCCACAATTTCTTTGGGTAATCTGTTCCAGTGCCTCACTAACCTCACAGTAACGAATTTTTTCCTAATATCTAATCTAAACATACTCTCAGTTCGAAGCCATTCCCCCTTATCCTGTCACTACATGCTCCTGTAAAAAGTACTTGCTCCCTTCAGGTACTGGAAGGCTGCAATTAGGTCACCCCAGAGCCTTTTCTTTTCCAGGCTGAACAATCCCAGTTCTCTCAGCCTTTCCTCATAGGAGAGGTGATCCATCCCTCTCCTCATCTTGCTGGCCCTCCTCTGGACTTGCTCCAACAGGTCCATGTCCTTCCTGTGCTGAGGGCCCCAGAGCTGGATGCAGTGCTCCAGATGGGGACTCAGCAAAGCAGAGGGGCAGAATCCCCTCCCTTGCCCTGCTGGCCACACTGCTTTTGATGCAGCCCAGGACACAATTGGCTTTCTGGGCTGTGAGTGCCCATTGCTGGGTCATGTCCAGTCTCTCACCCACCAGCACCCCCAGGTCCTTCTCAGCAGGGCTGCTCTCAATCTGTTCATCCCCAGCCTGTGCTGATACTGGGGGTTGCCCTGACTCAGGTGCAGCACTGTGAACTTGGTCTTTTTAAACCTCATGAAATTCCTATGGCCCCACTTCTTGAACTTGTTCAGGTCCCTCTGGATGGCATCCCGTGCTTCTGGTGTGTCAACTGCATCAGTCAGCTTGGTGTCATCTGCAAATCTGCTGAGGCTCCACTCAGTCCCTTTGTCTATGTCATTAATGAAGACATTATACCACTGGTGCCAATACGGACCCCTGAGGGAAACCACTTGTCACTGATGTCCATTGGAACTCAAGAAACATTGACCACCACACTCCAGATGTGATCGTCCAATCACTTTCATATCCAACAGTCCTTGAAATTCAAGGTTCAACTTAATTTCTGACACTCAGTGAGACCTTTCTGTCATTTACTTTAATGGGGGTCAAGATTTCACCACATCGACTTGCCTGTGAAAACCTGCTAAGGAGCTCTGTACCAAATGCAAACAGCCAAAGGGCATTTCTGCCAATTTGCAGGCATTTTGCTTAATTTTCAGATGAGGCCTATCAAGAGATTTTAAGACCACTGTGCAGGAAGAAAGCAAAAGAAAGAGCTAGTATTTCTCCTACCATGTTGCCAGCAGACCAGCAGAATTAGACACACCTCCATTTTTCTACACAAGCTCATGCTGATGCTAGTTGCCTGGGGTCACCCAGTATTTTTTATTAGATGCTACTATGTTTCTTAACTATTTGGCCAAAGCCCCCCTCTTATTCTTTGACTCATTCTTATCTTCCTACTATGATCAAAATATCTCTTACATTTTGAGCCAGAAAACTACTTCAAATAAAAGGGGTAGTGGCTGCATACTTTCCCCAGTTGCTGCCCCATTTTTTCAGAAGTAGCATTTTTTTTTCCCCCAGCTGGCTGAATGAATTTTTGAAACAGCAAAAACCTGGCTTGGGGAAACACAGTTGTTGCTCTATGGCCCAAATGCCTACAATATTGGGTCACAACCTCTGAAAATGAACACCTGCTCTGTGCAGTACTGCATTTTATGAGATTTCACCACTAGGAGACTCTCCAGGGATCACTGCAGTCAAAGAGCAGGACACACGAAAGCAGAAGTCCAGATTGATACAGGAACAACAAATGCCCCAGGCTTCTGCCTCGTGAAATGTGACATGTGTTTGTCCCAATCTCTACTAATGAGCCAGATTCCCTCTTCCTTCTTTAGGGAGTAACAGACACTAACCCAGTCATATGGCATACGTTTGACAAAGGACACCGTCTCCTATAGAGCATCAAACATAGCCTGTCAGAAAGTCTCTGCTATTTACCAAACAGAAAAAAAATCCTAGGGAGTACCCACAGCCTGGGCAGCTGCATACAGGGCATATTTGGTGGGTCTACCAAGCACGTTCACAGAGACCTCAGCAAGGAGACCTCTCAAGGAATGCAGACACATGAGTTCTCATGCCTGTCCTCCAACCTACATCTCTGGCAGAGACTGCTGCCAGGCTGCACACCTGATTCTGGACTCACCAGCCTTTTAGAGCTGTTTTATGTCCCTTCTCCAAAACAGTTTATGCTTTAACACTTTCCTGCTGTCTACTGGGCACTCACATGTTCCAGAGAAGTAAAATTTCCCCCTGCCATGTTTTGCAGCCAGCAGCGGACGTGTACAGCACAGCACCTGCTCTACCATTTATTTGATGGCTGTTCCCCAAGGCCCTGATTCAGACAGCAGCTCTTTTCAGCAGACATTTCTCCAGGGTATGACTAAATCAAACAAACTCTGAGACAAGCACCTAAATGCTTCACAGGCTGATCAGAGATTATGGCGTGGTCATGACTTTCACTGTACTTAACTGGCTGCAAGAACAGCTTTTATTAACTCATGTTTTCTCTCTGGGAGACAAAAAAAAGGAAAAACCCTCTAATTTAAAACACTCTTACAGTTCGACAACAATCACCGCTTCTTACCTGCTAGCCTGGGAAGTGCTTGGAAAATTAACTGTGCAAGCCAGAAAATGGGAGGCTCAACCACAGCAGGGAATGCTACAATGAATACTGTGTGGGTCTCATCTTCCAAGCTGGACTGATACCACTTGGAAAGGGGAAAGATTTTCTATCTCTTTTGGCACCCAAGGCTACTATAGCCAGGATCCAAACCCCAACATATCAACCACTCAGCAGTGTCTGACTTCAACTCTTTGACTTTTTAGTTCTATTACCCAGAATGCAAAGACATACTCCTTAACAGCTTACATCTTTCCTCTTTCTCATAATTGCTGATCTCTTGGTCCACTACACCTGAGGCCCAGTATTGCTGTTAGCTTCTTGGAGAAACAAATGCAGTTTTGAAGGCAGAATAAAAGAAATTGCTGCATAAAACAGAACAGCAGGCAAAATCATAGACATCTTCCTTATTTTAACTCCAGTGCTCTTTCTTACAGCTTCAATTTGAACCTTAGAAGATTGCAGTGTAAAAAAAGATGAGATTTTTCATGTGTTTGTGGGATTTGTTTGTATTTCTTCATAAACTAGGCACGAACCACTTTCCTTTTTAAGTGGAAGGCTGTAACTCTAAGAAACTGCTGAATCCCATGCCCATTTTCCCTTTGGTAAGCAGGTAGGACAACTAAAAACCCAGATTTTCACAAGGCTCTCACCAGTTGGTACTTTTATTCCAACGGGAAGGAGAAGCAAAACTATGCAGAGAACGCTTTTGAAAACTCCTGTTTATTTTATAGAACTGCCAAGAAAAAAAAAAGGTCACTCGCCATCCTCACCTTCCTCAAAACCTCGTCACATGCACAAACCACTGGACCCATTTAAACAAGGCTGCTCTTGTCACCTGCCGGCTTCCAGCTATGCTGTGAGTCACCCTCTGCATGCAGAAGCAGCGCACAAAAGAAAGGCACAAGCAGGTGAGCACAAAGGCACAAAGAGGTAGCAAATTACCCAGATACCCATCTTGGTAAATCGTCTAGGAAACAGCCAGCACAGGGTCCGCAAAGCCTGGCCAGCAGGGTCCAAGATGATGAAGAGGTCCCAGAGCACTGTACAAGCCCTCCCCTCAAAAGGCAACACAGGGCTATCTCATGAAGCAAACTACTGACTCTCTGTATGCACCAGCCCATGCAGAAAAGCCTGCCAAGAGGGAAAGGAATGCACCACAGGTGTTTTTTATACTTGCTCCATACACAAAGGAGGAGCCAGAAACACCTGCCATGAGCAGGAGAATAGGCAAAACCAAATCCAAGTTCAGACAGACGGCAGGGATGACCCAGACTGTCTTCTCTAGTTCTTGTCTCCCATGCTCTTTGCTCGCAACCAATTCCTCTCTGATTTCTGGAGTTACTGTCAGGGAAAGGATAATCTGATTATTATAGGATATAGCCTGGGTGGGTTTTAATGCCCCAAGGACAGGGATGCACTCGTGCTCTCTGAGCCAGGTCCCTGCCACTCTTCCCTGCTACCAGTGGCAGAAGTCCTGTCTGAGTGAATTTCTTCACCTTCAGCTGATAATGGCATGCTTGATCCCAGGCAGCCAAGGAAGCCCTGGACGCACCTCTGGACAAAGACATGCTCAGTCTTTGCAGTTAGAAGTTCAGCATCTCCCCCAGTCACTCAACACCCTTCGGACCAGAGCAGTCAGCCAGGCACCAGCCCCAGCCCCAGCTCCTGCCATATGTGCTTCACTGGAGGGAGGAAAAACAACTAAAGTAGTAGAACCCTACAAAAATAAAACAGGTTACGGAGGCAAGAGATACCACACGTTAGGTGTCTGAATCGAGTCTAAGAGGTGTTAATGTGTTCATCCTTTGGACCAGGGCATAGCTCTGTGTCATTGCCTTCTGCTAGGTTTGGAAGGGGTGTAACACACTGCTAACATACCACTCCTGGTTTGCTGTATAGGTGACTGCGTGAAGGTGGCCCTCCCTCAGAACTGTTGCTTGCATACAGATCTATACTACTTCACCACCTGCTGTTTGACACCCTCCCCCAAAATCCAGATCTTGACATTTTCTCCTGTCCTCGTGCACAGATCTG